GTAGGACATAATATGATTAATTCCGTTAGATAATTACCTGCGGGTCGGTTATACGTTTTGTGCGTGCGTTGTGCGTGTTACAAGTCAGTACTCGTTTGAGGCTCTTTTACATTTGGCATCGATTGCTGTCCGGTATTAGTCAACTTAAAAAAAAAACAGAGAAACCAAAAATCAAAAATCCGAGGTCAGAGGCCGAGGATCGTGGACCGCGCGCGGAAGAGAAAAGAAAAGAGAAAGAACGCGATCCGTCGCTTCTTTTGCGAAAATATTGTTCGTTTAACGCGGACGCACGGAAAATTATTCAGGGCAAATGATTCGCGCAAAAATTCTCGAATCGAGTCGCAGCGTGAGATTTTTCAAGGAAAGTAATCTGACACTTAAAATTGTTTCACCTTTTCCTTCAATGATTTTAGATAAAATTATCGAAGGATATTATCGTTACGTTATAAATTACAATGGTATGGCACGTTAATACTGCAATATCGCGTCGTCAAATTTATTCCACGCTGACGCAATTATCTCAATTTTATCGAATCTCGTACAACATTCCGGCAGTTGTCTGTACGATTAATACTCAATTTCGTGCGGAAAAAAAATGAAAACGCGTGGCGCATCGCTTGGGCATCGACCTGTCATTTTGAAGTTGACTCCGGATGGATCTTGCATCGATCTCTTCGATCGGACCGAGAGCAAAATTGGTACAAGAGAAAAATTGGTATTGGTACGAGTAAATTAAATTGCGCAGATTAATCCACGAACGAGGTACCGAAAGAAATAGAAAGGCTATGATTCTCGTAGGATTTAAATGTAAATAAAAAAAAAGATTGTCGTCACATTTTTGTGATGGATCAAAGTAATAAACGAGTGTATATAGGATCTTCGTATCTGATGAACGTGGCAACGTCACTTGTTGAAAACTAAGGAATAATTAGTTTCCTTTTGTTATGATTAAATTCAGCATTTTTTTATGTATTGTTCGAGCGAAATCTATGACGTTATTTAAAAAAAAAAAAAAAAAAAAAAAAAAACAATATTTATCATCTATATGCGTTCGTGAAATATACAATTTATCAAATATTTTTATTTTGTATTAGTTACGATTTGCAAAGTTATTGACATCTTCATTAGCAGAAATTTTCGGTTTTTAACAAAGAACATCGCTACGTGCACCAAGA